AATCCATTGTCATACACTTTGATCAGTTAGAATAATAAAGATGATGATGATAATAATAATAATAGCATTTATGTACCACTTTAAGATTTGCAATTTACTATATATATATATATATATATATATATATACACACATATGTGTGCGTGTATGCATTCTTAATCTCTGGTCCATGGACCCCCCAGAGGTTTTTAGTTAAACTTCAGAGGATCCACATTTATAAACTTTGATGGGAATATTTCCTTCAACACAAAGGCTATAGCCCCATTGTTACACCCAGAATCCAGGTAAAGATAAGAGTGGGCATGAAATTAGAGTACCATGGTAATAAGGCTCAGAGGTAGTGAATACATGTGACTAAGGAGAGACACCTCAGGATGCGCAAGTTTGCCAAGTCCTTTCTTTCTCCAAGAAGCCTTCTCTTCTTTTGAAAGGGTCTTAATGGGGTTCCTTTTTTGCTTCTTAATATAATGTAAGATAAGGTAAGAACTCCATTCTTTATCTTTTTTTCTTTATCTCCCATGATATTCTTGACTTTTTATTCTTCCATATGATTTTTTAAAAGTATTTTGCCTAATTGTAAAAAACATATCTCTTTGTTAATTTGTCATTTAGGTATTATCATAATTTTGTTTTACACTATTGGCACAGTCCATCCATAAACATTGACTACCTCTCCAATTTTTAAGTCTTCCTTTACTTCTATAAAATAATTTTTGATGTGTTTATATGACTCATATGTAGCTCAAATCTTTGATATTTAATGCATTTTTCTGTTATATAAAATGGAAGTTTTCTTTTTATCTCTTCTGCTGAAGGGCATGCACTGAGAAAATCAGATAGGCAGGACTTGAACTCAGCTCATCTGATTCCAAATTCAGTACTTTGATTTTGGGGGGAAATTGTCCAAAATGCTGATGATTTTGTAGACTAATTTTACATCCTGTTATTTTGCTAAGCTACTGTTTGTCTTTACTACTCTTTTATTGATTATCTAGGATTCTTTAATTAAATCATCCGATCATGTTCAAATGCAGGTAATATGATCTCTTTGCCTGTGCTCATTCTCCTAAGTTATTTTTCCTGCCTTTTTACTATAGTTAGTCCTTAGAGCACTAAATAAAATAACTGTAGATTGACCCAGCAATAGCACTTCTAGGGCTATATCCTATAGAGATCATAAAAATGGGAAAAGGACTCACATATACAAAAATATTTATAGAGGCTCTTTTTTGTGCTGACAAAGAATTGGAAATTGAGAGGATGTCCATCAGTTGGGGAATGGCCCAACAAGTTGTGGTATATGAATGTAATGGAATACTATTGTGCTGTAAGACTTGTATGGTCTGATGCTGAGTGAAGTGAGCAGAACCAGGAGAATGCTGTACACACTAACAGCCACGTTGTGTGATGACTAATGCTGATAGACTTAGTCCTTCTCAGCAGTGAAAGGATCTAAGACATCTCCAAAAGCCTCATGATGGAAAATGCTATCCACATCCAAAGAAAGAACTATGGAGTTTGAATGCAGATCCAGTAACCTTCTCTATAGGATTCCTTCAAAAGGCAGAATGGCAACCAAGCAGGGGAAATTCCAGTCAACATCCATTATCCATGACAATAAAGTGGCGCTCTCTCAGTAGTCACCACTCTTGTGAGTCTCTTGCAATTACTGCAATCTCTCTCCTCTGTCTCCTTTCCCAACTCCAGAAAGGTCCCCATCCCTTCTCCTCCATTCAGAGTGATTCAAAAAGCTCCCATTTCCATGGGAATATCCTTTCTCCTTCTGCACCCTTGCCTCCCCAATCCCTAATACCCATGAAAGGTGATCCAAGCCTACTGCTACATGATCATATTAAAGGAATATTTATTTCATTACTAATTTTTTTTAGTATTTTAAATATAAAAAAAACACTGTATTTGGTTGAAGGCTTTCCCCCTTAATCTAGAATGCAATCGAGTGGGTTTTATTAGATTTTTTTGGTTTCTTATGTAAATTATATTAAATTTGTCCTAATGTTGAAAAGACTTTGTAGACAGAGATACAGATTTAGAAGCCAGAAAACCCTACATAAATTGCTTTTCTTTTTATTTTTAAACAATAAATTTATTTTTTGTTTGTTCTTAACATTCTTTTAAATTTTAAGCTCCAAATTCTCTCCCTCCCCTCTCATTTCTCTCTTTCCACTGAGAAGGCAAGCAAAAGGATATTATATACATGTTAAATCATGTAAAACACATTTCCATGTTAGCCATATCATAAAAAGCAATGAAAAAAATAAAGAAAGCAAGAAAGTCATACTTAAATTTGCATTTACAATTCATCAGTTCTCTCTCTGGAGGTAAATAGCATTTTTCATAATGAGTTCTTTGGAATAATCTTGGATCATTGTATTGATCAGAGTTGCCAAGTCTTTCAGAGTTGATTATTATTGCCACAACAATATTATTACAACATTACAACACAGTTGATCATTATTACAACATTGCTACCTGTGCACAATGATGTCCTGATCTTTCTCACTTCACTTTGAATCAGTTCATGTAAGTCTTTCCATGTTTTTCAGAAACCACTTCCCTTGTCATTTCTTTTTGTGTGTGTGTTGTACTGTAATTTGACTTATTTGTTCCCAATTACATTGTAATCTGGTTCAGGGCTCAGGTGAGTTTATTTTATTTTATTTTATTAAGTTATTTTGATTTATCAGCAATCACCTCCATATGCTTTTTAGTTTAAAACTTTTCTCCCCTTTCTTCCCCACCACCCTCCCCAAGACGGTACACAATTTGATATAGGCTACACATATAAATTCCTATTAAACATATCTTCACATTAGTGATGTTCTAAGTAAGAATTAGAACCAATAGACAGAACCACCAGAAAGAGGAAACAAAACTCAACAGAAGAGAAAAAAAACTAGTAAATAGTATGCTTCGATCTGCATTCAAACTCCATAGTTCTTTCTTTGGATGTGGATAGCATTTTCCATCACGAGGCCTTTGGAGAAGTCTTAGATCCTTGTATTACTGGGAAGGGCTAAGTTTACCAATATTAATCACTGTACAATGTGGCCATTATTGTGCACAACATTCTCTTGGTTTTGCTTACTTCACTCAGCATTAGACCATACAATTCTTTCAAGGTTTTTCTGAAATCAGCCTGTTCATCATTTCTTATAGCATAATAGTATTCTATTACATTCATATACCACAACTTGTTGAGCCGTTCTCCAATTGATGGGCATCCTCTCAATTTTCAATTCTTGGCCACCACAAAAAGAGCTGCTATAAATATTTTTGTACATTTGCCTTGTCATTTCTTATGGCATAATATCACTCCATCACAATCTTATGCCGTAACTTGTTACCATTTCCCAATTAATAAGCATCCCCTCAATTTCCAATTCTTTATCACCACAAAAAGAACTGCTATAAATATTTTTGAATATAAATCCTTTTCCTTTTTCTTCTATCTCTTTGGGTTACAGACCCAGTCATGGTATGCACAGTTTTATAGACCTTTAAGAATAGTTCTAAATTGTTCTCTAGAATTATTGGACTAGTTCATAACTCCTCCAACAGTTTAGTAGTCTACCTATTTCTGCTCAACTCCTCTGGCCTTTGTCGTGTCTGATAAGTATGATGGGGTACCCCAGAGTTCTTTTAATTTGTATTTCTTTAATCAATTGTGATTTAGAACATTTTTATATAACTACAGATAGCTTTAATTTCTTCTTCTGAAAGCTGTCTGTTCAAGTCCTTTGACAATATATTAATTAGGAAATGATTCTTATTTTTATAAATTTAACTCAGTTTCCTATATATTTGATAAATGAGACCTTTATCAGAGAAACCTGTAAAAATTTATATGACCATTTAGCAAAATGTAGTTTCCCTGAATATCTCTTTTAGTTAGGTCTATCTTTGCTTTTGCTTTGTCTGAGATCATGATTAGTACCCCTGCCTTTTTTTTCACTTCAGCTTAAACATAATAGATTCTGCTCTAGCCTTTTAACTGTGCATGTCTTTAGGTTTCAACTACGTGTCTTGTAAGCAACATATTGTTGGATTCTAGTTTCTAATACCTTCTGCTCTCCCTTTTCATTTTATGAATGAGTTCATCCCATTCTTATTCACAGTTATAATCACTATTTCCCTCCATCATAGTTTCTTCTGTTTATCCTTCTCTCTCTTTTTATCCTGTTCCTCTTCAAAAGCTTGTTTTGTCTCTGACCACTGCCTCTTTTAATCTGCCCCCTCCTTTATTATTATTATTATATATTCATCACTTTTAGAACCAATTCCAAAGAGAGTAAGGTTCAAATATTGCCAACCCACCCCCATTTTCCCCTCCATTATGAAAGCATTTCTTTGCATGCCTCTTTTACATAAGAAAAATTTCCCCATTCTACCTCTAAATTCCCTCTTCTCCAAACGTGTACCTCTTTTTCACCCCTTAATTTTTTTTTTGAGATTGTCTCAACATAATCAACTCAAACCCTAAGATATTGGGGCAGTTTTCCTTGATAATTTATTTTTCTTTTTTTTCTTCATAATTTCTTGATCATGGCTTTCACATAATCCAAAATTCTTAAATTACCTCTCATCAATCTGCATTCTAGATAAGTTTTTTTTTCCTGATGAAATATTTCAGATTTTCTTCTTTTTTTAAATTTTTATTTCATTTTATCTTATTGTCTTGTAATGTTTCGCAGAATCATTAGCTTTCACTTGTCCAATTCTAATTTTTAAGGAATTAGTGAGCTTTTATACCTTCTTTTCCATTTAACTTATTTTACTTTTTAAGGAGTTCTTTTTTCAATGAATTTTTGTGCCTCTTTTATCATTAGGTCAATTCTGCTTTTTTTTTTAAAGGTGTTATTTTCATCTCCTTTTTTGTGCCTCTTTCACCAAGCTGCTAATTCACTTTTCATAATTTTCTTGAATTACTCTCATTTCTTTTCCCAACTTTCCCACACCACTCTTATCTCTTTAATTTCTCCAGGAATTCTTGTTAGACTTCAATCCAATTAGCATTTTTCTTTGAGGCTTTGGTTGTAGTTGTTTTTATGTTGTCATTATCGGATTTTGTGTGTTGGTCTTCCTTGACACCATAACAGCTTTTTATGATCTAATACTCTTTCCCTTGTTTGTTCATCTCCCCAGCCTATTTTTTGACTTTTAACTATATGTTAAAGTCGGGCTCTGCTCACCTGGAGGTGGGGAGGCATTGTGCCAAGCTTTAGGCTTTTCCATGCTGTTGTTTTCAGAACTACTATTGGGGTCTGCAAGTTTTTGGTGATTCTAAGGTGGTGTGATTTGGGGAGAAGTGTAGTCACCATTTTCCTGGTCTATGATCTTGCTTTTATCCAATAAGGGCCCCTGGTGTCCTGCAGTCACAAACACTAACATTTCTTTGGGCCCTGAACTGTGACTAGGCCCCCTGTTCCCCTAAAGCTTCAGGTACTAGTGTTTCTTTCTGTGTTGGAACTGTGACCAAGGCTCCTACTACCTTGTGGTTGATGACAAGAGATCCTATCTGCCCTGGAATTGTGACACAGAATTGCTTAGAGTTGCCTATCAATGCCAAATGTACCCAGTGCCAGCAATAGAGTTGCCTATCAATGCTAAATGTACCCAGTGCCAGCAAATGGTCACCTGCAATTCTGATTGTCCAATTCCCTTAACCATCTTTGAGAGGTCCCAGAGCTGCTGTTGGTGCTGTTACCCTGTGCATACACTCTGGACAGGCCTCCACTCCAGTGTCACAGACCTTTCCTGCTAACCTCCCAAGTTATATTGTCTGGAAAATGTCTCCCTCTGACCTTTTGTTGGCTCTGCCACTCCAAAATTTGATTTGAGGAGTCATTTTAAGGTTGTTTGGAGGGGCATGTTGGTAGAATTCATCTGGGTTGCTGCCCATCTTGGCTCTTCTCCTTTTCTTTTTAGGATGAATGACTGGGATTTAGTGGAATGGGCATGACCAAAGTTCATCCCAATCTCTTGACCATTCAGGTCAATAAAACCAGGATAGTTGGTTTGAAGAAAAGTCATTAGAGTATGATGTAGTGAAAAGAGATTTAGGCATGTGGTTCAAGGTCTTGGGTGCCAGCCCTGGATCTGACACTTAGTTGGCGTTTTCACAGGTGAATCAGTTGTTCTCCTTTCATCTCATTTTCCTAGTGTGTGTAAGATGGAGACAACAATTCTCACTATATCTGGTGTGAACAAAGCTCTTCTACAATGCCCCAAAGTACTAGAGAAGTGATAAGGACTTTTTATAAACTAGAGTCTGGTGATAATGTCTATCAGCTGTACTAGTTAGTCAGCCAGTCAGACACCTAACATTTATTAAGTACCTACTAGGTGCCAAGCACTATGCTAAGTGCTGAGGATACAAAGAAAAACAACAAACAATCCCTCCCCTGAGGAGCTCCTATTTGACTTAACCATTTACTGAATGACTACTATTTTCAGGGTCCTATCTCTGGTACTAGGGATAGAAAGGCAAAAGCAAATCAGACTCTGCCCTTAAGGAAATTCCATTCACTATTCAACCAGAAGCGTCCAATTGAAATGCCCTTCAAAATATAGGTGATGCCCTTTCAATAATTGGGTCATAGAGCGGTGCCCGTGGTGTTAAAAGGAGTCAGTGGCAAATGACAAAACCATCCACCAGGACTCTCCAGGCAAAACATCTGTCTGTCTGTTATGCCTCTATAAAATGTGATATGGTGAAAGATTTTCATGCCCAGTTGGAAAAAAGGAGTGCCTTCGAAGGAGGTCCTTGTGCTCAATTTAGGAGGAAGAGGATGGTGTCACACCTTGCAGGTGACCCCAGCATCCTCGTTGTGGTTACAGTTGGTCACACCCCAACCTTTGAACAAGCATTTCTCTAGAGACAGTTCTTTTCCAAAGCAGAGGACTTCATTCATCCATATGATACCAGTACCTGTAATGGCCCAAAAAACTGAATCAGAAAAAGCTAAGTCAGCAGGTTATCCTTGAAAGTAACAAAAGCAGCCAAAAGTATTTATGCTAGGTGCCACCAACTCACTCTGTGTGTATGTGAGTGGGTGACAGAGAGAGAGAGAGAGAGAGAGAGAGAGAGAGAGAGAGAGAGAGAGAGGAGAGAGAGAATCAGAGAAACAGAGACAGAAATAGAATTACAGAGACAGAGAGACAGAGAAACCCTATGATCTCCCATCTCCATTTCTTCTTCTCTTCACAAAGACTCAATCATTTGAGGACATACTTACTTGAACTCAGGAAGGGAGACATGGGAAATAAAACTCAATGGGGTTCCGATATTGCTAATGAATCTTGATTCCAAAATTTAAAATAAAATCCTGAAAACATATAGATGAATGTTGCCTGTTGTCAAAGGTCTTTTTTGTATAAATTGATTTATTCATGCAATTTGGGGTATTGTTTTCTATTATGATTAATTACGGTAATTGTTTCCTTAATACTAAAATATCCTTACATTTTTGGTAGATACTCAATTATAGTGAATAATTAGGTATATTAATGTAGTTTGGGGGGGAGGTGTTCAGGATTTTATTTTAAATTTTGGAATCAAGATTCATTAGCAATATCAATCTATAGTTATCTCTCTTTGCCTTATCTTTCCCGGGTTGAGAAGGAAGAAAGGAAACAAGTATTTATTAAGTGATTATTACATGTCAGGCATTGTGTTAAGTGTTGGGGATACAAATACAGGCAAAAAGAGAAATAGTCCCTGTCTTCAAGAAGGTTACAATGTAATGAGGAAGACAATATACAAAAGGGAGCTGAAAGGTGGAGTGTGAGTGCGGATAAAATTACATGGCATGGAGCCATGTTTTTAAAGTCTGGAAGTTTAGAACAGGATGAGGAGGAGAATGAGAGCATGCCAGCCTGGCCTCTATTCACAGCATGGAGGCCCCAGGAGGAACTTACCGAGGGGGATCAGGGACACAAGGCTAGTCTAGGTTGAGGAGGTGATTGGGGACTCCTTGGTGGGGAGGCCCCAGGTGCTGAGGTATTAGAACTAGAGTTATGCCTTCCACATCTCTACTTTCCCCATCACAGTTTCTATACCTTTTGGGTTGGCATAAGAAATTAAATGGGGGTTTGGGGGGAGTTTTGCAGAAGTGGCAGATGATAGGCAAAGGCCAGCAGATGACAGAAAAAGTTTAGAAACTGGCAAATGCATAAAATATAGGTATAGCATTATATAATATCAACATATTTTATCTTTTAACACCATACTAATTCAGATTTCTCTGGTATGAAAGGAGAGCCAAACTTTTTTTCCAGATCATGGGGGTGCCACACCTCAAACCTCTGTGATGTGGAAGAGATAACTGTATATTTATCTCACAAAACAAATTTGGTAGAATTTTTTTTTCTAATTTTGAGAACAATTTGTGTAGTATAGTCACTAATTATTTTCTAAAAGTTTGATATAATTAACATGTAAACCCTTCTGGGCCAGAGTGTTTCCTCTCCCCTTTATAATTCCTTTACAGCTAATACAATTTCTTTTTATGAAATTTGACAGTTGTAAAATTTCTTATTTCATATTCTGTTAATGGGCCTTTTATACTTTATACATATTGCTCTATTCTTAAATCTTTTTTGTGAATCTTAGTATCTGATAATTATTTTCTTTCATCTCTGTTGTGATTTTCTTTGTCTAAATTGTTTTTGGTAATTTGATTTTTTCCCTTTTAATTAGATTATCTAATGACTTTATCAGTTTTTTTTAGTCTTTTCAAATAATAAACTTTTAATTTTGATTAGTTTTATATTCTTTTTGTTTTCAATTTATCTATTACTTCTCAAATTTTCAACATATCCTCTTCTGTGATTATTTTAAGCTTATTCATTTGTCAATTTCAGAATTATAAAATTGCATATATAGTGCTCAATCCTATTTTTTATTTTCTTTTTTAATTTTAGGTTTTATTTTATTTTGAACTTGAGATAAAACAAGCATTTCCATGACATAGTAGAATAGGAAAAAAAAAAGATGACTGTACATGAAACTGCAAATCTATTATGTATAACTTCCTATTCCTTTTAAATATATAATAAAGTTATCATGTAACTTTTTTCCTTTTTTTTGTTTTTTTCCTTTTTTTTCTCCCCCTCCTGCCCTCAAGATAACTACCATTAGACACAAATAAGGGTGTGTGTGTGTATGTAAAATTATTCTATGCATACTTCTATTTATCAGTTCTTTCTCTGGATATAGATAGTCTCTCTTCATATGTACTTTATAGTTAATTTGGGTATTTAGAATAGTTAAAATAACTTATCCACTCAAAGTCATTCTTAAAACAATATTGTTGTTACTGTATACAGCATTCTCTTGGTTCTGCTCATTTCACTCATTATTTCACGCAAGTTTCTTCATACTTTTCTAGGATCATCAAGCTCGTCACTTCTTATAGCACAGTAGTATCCATCACAATCATATACTACAACTTGTCCAGCCATTCTTCTACAACCTCATCTACCACATTGCTGCCCTGAAAAATCTCCCAGCCGGGGGTCTGGCTGTCCTAATTGCTTCTCTATACCAATGTTTCAGGAAAGACCCAACTACCATGTTTTAATTATCTACCTTCTCTTCATCTCTATTTTCCACAGTTTTAACAATCTCATTGCATGGATACCCTTCCCACCCCTTTGCTGTTCTAGGGCTTTCATGGTCCTGCTCTCTCTTGGTTCTCCTCCTACCCGCCCGACCATTCCATCTCAGTCTCCTTTACTGGATACCATGCATCTGTCACGTACCCTTGAAGGCTGTGTTCTAGGACCTCTCTCTATTCTATCTCCTTTGACAGTCTCATCAGTTCCCATGGGCTCAATTATCACCTCCCTGAAGGAGATTCCCAGGACTGTCTGACCAGCTATAGTTTGCCTTTTGAGACCCAATCCTGTATCTCCAACTGCTTATTGGACATTTAGAACCGAATGTCCCCTAGGCATCTTAAACTCCATGTGTCCAAAACTAAATGCTTGATCTTTCCCCCAATCCTTCCCTCCTCCAAACTTCTCTATGACTGTTGAGGGTAACCCCATCCTCCCAGTATCCTAGACCAGGGCTTCTTAAACTGTTTCCACTCTCAACCCCTTCAGCACTTCTTAAACTGTGGGAATGGGGTTGTGACCCACAGTTTAAGAAGTGCTGCCTAGACTGATGACCTCAGTATTCTTTTGGACTCTTCACTCTCTCACTCCATCTATCTAATGAGTTACTAAATCGCGTCATTTCTACTTTCCCAACTTCTCTCCCAAACACAGAGTTTTCTCCATTTGCATGTTCAAATTCTCATCTTCTCTCCCCTGGGTTATTGCCCTAGTCATATAATAGCTCTCCCTTGCCTCAAGTCTCTCCCTGCCTACCCCTCCCCCACTTCAATCCATTCTCTACACAGCTGTCAAAACACTTTTTTTTTGTAAAATGGAGGCTTAACCACATCACTCTTCTGCTCAATAAACTTCAATAGCTGCCCATTGCTTCTAGGCTCAAATACAAAGTTCACTGGTTGACATTTAAGGCTATTCCCAACCTGGTCCCTTCCTACTTTCTAGTCTTTTTATACTTTAAACTTTTTCATGCAATCTATGGAAGTAAGGAAATAGGTAGTTATTGAATACCTACTATGTGCCAGGAGCATTATAAATATTACCTCATTTGATCCTTACAACAACCCTTGGAAGTAGGTGCTATTGTCACCCTCATTTTACAGATGAGGAAACTGAGTCAGACAGAGGTTAAGTGACTTGCCCAAGGTCATATAGCTAGTAAGTGTCTGAGGTCAAATTTGAACTCAGGTCTTCCTGACTTCAAGCCCCAGCTCCTCTATCCACTGAGCCACCTAGCTGTTCATAAAATCTGGTGTTACCAGTATATTTGCTGTTGCACTCACCTAACAATCCATTTCCCCTCTTCCGTGAACTGTGCTGGTGCCAGGGATACAAAGATAAAAATGAAATGGCCCTTGCTCACAAGGAGTGTTGTAGTGTCCTGGTGGCTACAAGGTGTATATACATAGATATAAAACAGGGGTGAAGGGGCTCTTCACCTGGAGGGATCAGGAATGGCTTTGAACAGGAGGTTCACTAAATCTGAGACTGGAAGGAAGCTAATGATTCTAAGTCAGAAGTGGGGATATGGAGCAAGTCAGGCAAAAACATGGCAACAAGAGTTGGATTTCCAAGTTTGGCGAAGAAGAAGTAGGTCACGTGGTGTGGAGAGAGTAATGGAGAAGAACCCAGCACAGCTTACCTGGAACCAGGTCATGAAAGGCTTAATGCTAAATGGAAAAACTTATACTGGATCCTAGAGGCAACAGGGAATCACTGTAGCTTCTTGAGAAGAATTACACGAGGCTTGAGGAGACCTGTTTGGTGGCTACATGGAAGATCCTTTGAAAAAAGGGTGAGCTTGGAATCAAGATGACCAACTGAGAAGCTATTCTAATATTTCAGGGGAAAGGTGACTATGACACAAATTAGAGTGGCAATGTGTGAATCAAGAGAAGAGGTCAAACCCAAGAGATGATATGGGGGTACAATTAAGGATACCTGACAATTCATTGAATATGGGGGCCGTGGGAAGATTCCAAATGGAAAAGGCACAGAATGAGGTGGGAAAGCTCAGGTCAGGGTTAGACCGATTCACCAGACCACCCAGCTGATCCACTGCCCTCATCTTGGTCATCATCTTGTATGAGAATGTGTCAAACTCTTGCAAGATTCCTCCTGACAGAATCCACAATTTGTTGGGTGTGTATGACCTCAGAGATGGTGTAGACTCCATCCAGAAGGAGTCTTGTGGTGTCACCTTTGTCTTTGCTCCTGTATGACCAGTAGATTGGGGTCAGTTTTGGACTCATTAGAATCTTCATCTTGTCCATAGGCCAGTAATAAATAGAAGGTGCAGGAGGAATGTAG